AAATTAACAGATTCCAAGCTTACATGTAAAAGATTTATTATGTAAATTTAGTTGACTATTAAAACAGACATTGCTTTCCTTAGCCTGTCACACTTGTTTTCTGCCCAATAAATCCTGCAAACCTTCCATCAAAATTCTTTACTTAAAATGCTATGGTTTTTATGGTCGCCGTGTATATTTCTTTTTTTATTGGAAAATGATCATCTGGAGATGAAGAAAATGACATTGAATAATTCAGTTGAAAAAAATTACTCCCATGTGGATAAAAAGAAGAAAGAACTTCTGGTATTTTTACTTTTGTGTTGTTAGATTTTAATTGGTTAATCATGTTTAACGTGCGTTTGACTTGTTAAACAAACGTTAGTATAATTTATGGGGTTGCGAATTCAAAGAGAGACGACACGTCCAACCAAAGTTTCAAGAAATTAACTGATTTGAAACCTACCTGAAAAACTGTAAATATAGCTTTATGTATGTAAGTGTGTAATAATTCTAATTTGTCTGAGGGATTCAGATGATAATGTATATTCAGAAGTGTGTGTATGTAGTAGACATTACGTCTGTTGGTTTCTCGCGTGTTATTTCGGAACGTTTTTACTCATACACCGTTTGTTTTAGATAAACATACATTAGATTCAAGGTTGGAGATGCAATATAATGTTTTCAACGTGTTTTTATAGGTGGTAATATTGTTATTAGTAGGTCTTCGAGGTACTTTCTACGTAAAGAATACTTTTTTTTAATTAGGGTGGCATCTGTAAAATTTATGTTATGTTATGGCCAGTTTTGTTCCTGTGTATTAAGAGAGTGATTAAATGATTATCTAAACAAAAATTTCTTTTCTGTTCGTAGATACGGACTTTTAGATTTCGTGTTTTCATAAATACTTTTGCATAGTAAGCTATTTATTTGATAAGTACCGGCATCTGAATTGGAATTAGATTCATTTTTCTTCCTAATTATCTCTGGTTGTCTTGGACGTCGGGGTAAAGATCCTAGTGTTAAGGATAGCTAAATTATTCTCAGGTTTTGTAGAGTGTTAGAGGAAAGGAATATGAATTTTGTGTTGTTGATGTTAGAAGTTCTGTTGCTGGTGTCTAGTTTTTTTGGATTTGCTTAAAAAATCCACAAATCCAAAAAGCTTTTGCCCCAAACGATGAGGGAGAAATATATATTTATTAATAATATACACGATGGTAAATCAGAAAATAAAGGCAATTTTGAAATTACGCGGTAAAAACGACAGCGAGGCACCGACGTGCGACACCAAGTGTGTATGCATGGGATGACGGATAATCAGCATTTCATCGTTCAGTCAAGGAGCAATGAGATCAGACGTATGGACGCTCGATTGCCCCATTACGGAACAACGCCCCGTAGTGATTCAAACCAGCCGAAATCCCTCGCTGGATATTGGTGCAGTATGAAGAACGTGCCATGAAAAAGGATTAAGAGCCGATTTGGTGGCTCATCAATATCGTACACGGAAATAACAACCCCCACCCCAGACGGATGATTTATTTGTTTAAACGTTATTTTTTAAAACGAATAAGACGAAAGGCGTCGGCAAAAACTAAGACTTTTTTCAATTGTCATTCTTATACCATAGATAGATAGATAGATAGATAGATAGATAGATAGATAGATAGATAGATAATGAAAAGACTGAGAAAGAAAGAAAGATAGATAGATAGATAGATAGATAGATAGATAGATAGATAGATAGATAATGAAAAGACTGAGAAAGAAAGAAAGATAGATAGATAGATAGATAGATAGATAGATAGATAGATAGATAGATAGATAATACAGAAACATAAATATTTAGTATATGTTTTGTTGAATACGACTGACAATAATTATTTTTTATGTGTACAAATGTGATAGATTCCATCAAGTGTAAAAAGCGTTTAAAATGGTGCATGCCCTTATTATAAAAAATAAGAACTTAACCCTTAATAACATCATTTATGAACACGGATACAATGTACTAGTGGTGTTTAAAAGAAAAGGAATTTATCTACATTTAATAACTTTTATACAGTCTACAATAACACTTACACATTATGAAATGGACAAAGTCCGACAATTATTTTAAGACATTTTTTATGTTTATACGTTCTTTTTATAGATACAATTATTTTAGTAAATGTTCTGTTTATAATGAACAGTATTAACAACATTTACCGGCCTGAATGTCCGAGAAATTTTCATAGAAAATATGCGTCCTCCGGCGGGAATCGAACCTGTATCCTATACGGAATCGTCATATAGCCTGACGTGTTTTACTGATTGAGCCACAGAGGAGCATTTCGGTTAACAAGGTTGATTTGATATGGAGAATTGTAGTTTAAAAAAAGTAAAATATTTAATAGTTCAGCCTAGGGAATCAACAAATCAAGAAAAACAATGAAAAATTAAACAAAAGTAATTTTTCAGTCTTTTTCAACGAAACATAGATAGATAGATAGATAGATAGATAGATGGAAGCAACAAATATGTTTTTTAACATAATCTCCTTTTTGTTAATGCACTTAACTCACTGTTGAATATTAATCACGTAGATAAAACATTACATAATGAAAATCTAAGATCAAAATTCACTTAATAATTACTCATTAGGCTACAGACTTATTGGTCTGTTTTCGTAAACAGTTTCCAAACTAATAACAGTATTAATTTCGTAATGCTCGTAACACTGTAATATCGTATAAAACTATTAACAGTATAGTATCGTATAAATCTATTAACAGTGTAATATTGCATAAAACTCGAACACCTCGGCCTTTGTGACATAATGTAAGACGATATATTTTAAATTCAACATACCTTGAGTGGAAAGAAGCGAATTATATTAGTTGAAGGGGTCAGACGCATTCTTGTAAAATATGTAATATTTGAACAATTTCATCGTTCTACTGAGACCCTTGGTTATATCCAATCAATTTTTGGTAAAAATAGATGCTTTCTACTTTCACGTTTTTATTGATTTATCGAACACAAATCTATATTTAATTGATAAACGATCTTTGCAGGCTTTTTGAATGTATCGATATAAATTCCATACTTTGGCATTCCAACCAGAGGTAGAGAAACTGATTGATTCACGCGAGACAATAAAAGGTCAAGATTGTTCATTAAGTACATTTATCTCATTAGTAAAACGCAATTTTCGTTATCTTCACGAGTTCAAGTTAATATAGAACGGATAACGTACCATTCATTTACTAAATTTTACCCAGTACAAGCCTTGATAGACACTTTTTAAAAGGACAAATAACCACGACATTCTACACCTACGCACATACGCGCATGCGCACGAACGCACACACGAACACATACAATATGACAAAACAAACAAACTTGTACTAATGAAAAGTGGATATAAAAAGAAAAATCAAGAAGTATAAACAGTCAATTTCTGATATCTCCTGACGAGTGGACGTAGAGATTTCCGAGGCGTCCGACTACGAAACTCTTGAGTCAGGATGCTGAAGGTAACATCAATCATACTAAGTGCCAAACATGTTACTTGTATTAATTCTTTCTCACCACGCTCTCTCCCTCTCTGTCTCTATGTCTCTTTGACTCTCTCTCTGTCTTTCTCTCTCTCTCACTTTTCTGTCTCTCTCTCTCTCTCTCTCTCTATATATATATATATATATATATATATATATATATATATGTATGTATATGTTGTAACCTAGTGAAGGTTACTGAATAGAATAATCAAATGAAGGTTGGTAATGAACGATAATACTTAGGACAAGAACAACACATATAAGATTCGCCAGCGGAGGCACCTTGAGGCAGTGTAATGGTTAGCAAACTTGAGTCGCTGGGACAATTACGACTGAGTAGTGAGTTCGATCCTCACTTGATGCTCCCTATTTTCGGCCTTGTGCCACATCTAAGCTACGCTTGGAAAATCACTATAAGATTCGCCAGCGGCGCGTAGAAGAAGTAGTCAACTACTAAAAGTGAGTAAAGTGAATTCCACAATGAATCTCCAACTGCAGGATATCTACCAACCGCTCCACGCGGTCCGATGTGGCACAAGGCCGAATTTAATGTGGAGTATCCGAGCCCGTAGGCTCGACAAAAAATTCCCCGTAGACCTCGTATAAAACGGGGCCGGGTAGCTATTTCTCGAGACGAGACTCTGCCCTTTCTCGTAGCATCGTCTGGGGATCCTTTCTGTCTGGAGACATAGAGTTTGTCCAGCACAGCTGGAGACGAATCTCCAACTGCAGGATATTTGCCAACCGCCCCACGCGGTCAGATGTGGCACAAGACAGAACTTAATGTGGGATATCCCAGCCCGTAGGCTCGGGCATAAATTCCTCGTATACCCCGTAAAAAACGGGGTCGGGATGCTGTCTACCACCCCAGACGAGACTCTGCCCTGTGGCATAACCTCGTCTGGGTTCTTCTCTGCCTTCGGACAGAGAGTTCGACTAGCTTAGTTGGAGACGACTCTCTAACTGCAGACCAACATATAGTATTTACTCCTGTATTTATGTGGATGGTGACATACCAATTATCATCCGTAGGTATGCTACAGCAATATATATACAGGGTATATCAATTGTAATGGAAATAATGAAGAAAAAAGTCTGAATTTAGTCATAGGGAAGACACTTTGGGGACTCTGTGAAACACTGCACCATTTCTCTGTTTTCTTTTTGACGGAAGAGTGAGTTTAGCTCTATACAAGCCCTCAGCAGCAGAATCAAATCGAGTGAGAGTAGAGTCCATGCCGATCATTTCTTAATTTAAACTTTTAGGCTTTCATGCATCTTGTTTTTCTAACATTTCGGATTTACGTACAGAATACAATGAATATAGAACTGACAAGAAGTGTCATTTATGTTCGTATCAATAAACACGAATTTGAAGACAGTTATGTTTCTAAAAGATGTTAAATACGCATTAATAATTGACGTACACTACAAGGGTCGGCTGAAAAGTTCAGAGGCTGTCCAAGATACTTTCATAGAATGTGACCAAATGAGGTTTATTTTTTTTAACATGATCGTCTTTGCAATCCACACACTTCTTCCATCGAAGTTACAGTCCTTGAATCTCTTAGGTGAAGAAGCTTTGGTCAAAAAGATCATTAATAGCAGATATGACGTCATCATCACTAGGATATTGATTCCCAACCAAGTGTTGGGGAACAGATGATAGTCAGATGCGGACAAATCAGGAAAATAAGGAGGGTGATCAAAGTCACAGTCACGCACATCAGCCATGAAACAAGACACCTTTCGTCAGTTTTCTGGGCGTTTAGCTTTGATAGCCTTTCGTAACTGCATCAGCAAGTTGGCACATTACTCTTCATTGATGGTGTGTCCCTTTTGAAGATAGTCAAGAAACACAATGCCTTTTGCATCCCCAAAAACTGAGGCCTGCAGATGGAACGACCTTGGCCTTTTTTGGAGCAAATGAAGAGGGGTGTTTCCATTGTAGGGATTGTCTCTTTGCTTCTGATGAACCCAACACTCAACCTGGTTTAGATAAAGTTCAAGAAATTTGTGTCAAATAATACCAGAGTTTCCCGAAATTTGATCAGCCTGGTGCGCTTTTGATCACGTGTCAGGAGTCGCGGCACCCACTTTTGTCATGCCAAGTTCATTGTGCAGAATATTCTCAACTCTGTCACAAGATATGTTAATAGCATTGGCTATTTGATTTATAGTCAATCGCCTGTCATCCATTACCATGTTGTGAACACGGCCAATGTTTTCCTTAATGGTGACAGTTCCAGGATATTCAAACCTTAGGTTAATTTCAAACCCCTCTTAAGTCCAGCTGCCCATTTTGCACATTTGATAAAGCTGGTGCGTCATCCCCTTAAGTAGCAATCATGTCTCTATAGATGTTCTTAGGAGTTAAACCTGTTTTCTGCTTGTACTTGATAACAGCGCAATAACAAAACTTGTCCATTTTCAAGAGAAATCTCTACTTGTTACATTTTTAGTCTTCTTTGAACAGTCAAACTTCAGTTTACCTAGAAATAAACAATGCAGTTATTAATAAGAAGAGTTGAAATTAATGCAGACAAGATTTCACTGCTCCAGTATCACTCCTTCATAGTCAGCCTATGGAATTTTCAGTCACCTCCTTGTATAATATAATGTCATGTCACTCTACAAGTATTACTAGTACCATGTAGCCTAATACGATCCACTGCATGACTAAATCATTGACGAGTAAACCATTTCCACCCACCATGCTTTCTAATAGGAAAGGTAGTTAGAGAACTAGCAAGATTAAAACAAGAGAATCCATCTTGCACATTTATAAATCTATCATTTGTCCGTGGATTGAATACTGCTGCCATATCTGGTCTGGTGATTCTGCTATTCATCTTGAGGTTCTTGACAAAATCCAAAGGTGGGTCTGAAATGTAATCGATCCTGACAAGGCATCTCGACTTCAGTCACTTTCTCATCGACGTGACGTGGCTTCCCTCTGTCTTTTCTACAAATATTTTCATGACAACTGTTCTGATGAGCTTTTTTTTACCTGGTGCTCTGACTAAATAAATTTAAACGTTCTACTATATTGGCATCTAGGTCCCACATTTTACTGTTGAACTAGCTAGATGCAAAGGGCACTTCTACTCCAACAGTTTCTTTTCTTGCACTTCCAACATGTGGAACTCACTTCCGTTTTCTTGCTTCCTTGATAACTACAATTTTCAAAAATTTAAAGGCAACGTCAATCGCCATCTTCCGTTTTCTTGAAAACTGATTCTTTTGATCCTTTCCTAAATACCACCCATTCTCCCAATTCTCGTTTTCTTTCACTTTCACTCCCTGTGTCAAGCTGCGTTCTAGTGGCGGCGTCGCCTCGTTTGGGGTGGAAAGACTTGTGAGAGGGTGGATGAAACCTTTTGTCGAGTTAACAGCTATCTAGCACAATGGGGTAGACTGAACTCCATAGCTATGAATGCAGCCAGTGCAGGGATTACTCAAAATTGCTGAACGGGGTGGGGGAGGGTAATCTAAACTGAAATCAACAACAGGAATTGTAAGTTTCCTCAATGGAATCAAATGTCACGTGTTCATGACCAAGGCGAACATTCAAGTTAGAGAAAATCGGCCGTGGTTTTGACCTCGAGAGTGCCGGGCGACGCCAGGTTTACTTGCCAAGAAACACAAGGATCACAAACTCACATCAATCCAACCAAATATGTTAGTTCTATCTCTGATATTGAGCGCTTTCTAATAAGTACCGCGCATATAATATATAAATAATAATATATATAATATATTACACATGTATATTTATATTTTCACACACACACACACCCACACACATATATATATATATATATATATATATATATATATAGATAGATAGATAGATAGATAGATAGATAGATATAGATATAGATATAGATATATATAGATATAGATATATAGATATATATATATGAGATTATTTAGTCTGAAGAAATCTTTCTCAAGGACGAAACGCGTAGGTAGATATTGATTGTTTGATTTGTTTTCTACGGATTATCAATATCATTTGGGTTCATTATATTCAATTACGCGGGAAAACTCTTGGGAAAGATATGAATCCAGCTATTCTACCACTGCTATGTGTTAATTAGTGAAACTTGTATCACTAAAACATTATTATCTAAAAAAATTCTTACAATCTAAAAATTTTTTTCTGGCTTTAAATAACCTGCAAGGTTGAATAAAATGATCCCAAATTGATTTGGAACTCGGCTTCCCGATTAACCATTCCTCACCATTATCCATTACACCACCCGCACATCCAAGCTCACAACACCTGGTATTCCCTAGCGGTCACCCATCTAAGTACTGACCAGGTTTTACACTGCTTAACTTTAATGATTCTGTGGGAACCGGTATTTCAACGTGATGTGGCCGTAAATATAGATAGATAGATAGATACATAGATATTTTAACGTAACTCAATAATGATTTTTCTTGGGAAACATACAACAAATCATTACTAGATTTCCCCCTACCAGATTTTAAAAATCGAAGATATCATTGATGCTTTTAAATGAAATATGTGATTATCCTTTAGTTCGACATCATAATCATTGGCTTATGTAATTTGCAACCTAGCAGAACGCAAAAAAAGCAGTTTGAGGTACTGAGAAGTACCAACTAAAGAAAGGATCCCCGGCATATTTCTTATTCAAAGTACCAACTGAAGAAAGGATCCCCGGCATATTTCTTATCCAAAGTACCAACTGAAGAAAGGATCCCCGGCATATTTCTTATCTCTTATTTCTTAGCTGCTAAAGAAACAGTTTAATTGCTGAGAATCTTTTTCTTTAATCAAAATCACCCCAAGTAAGGCAAGAAAGCAACTAAGACACAAGGGGTTACAGGTTGAGAAAAAATTCCAAAACAGAAATATCATTAATGAGTGAGTACAATAGGAGAGCAAACGTAGCTGAAAAGCAAAAAAAAAAAAAAAACGGAATAGAGTTCCACGAACGAGAAATATGAGAAAAGAAATTCTTAGCATAAAACTTACGGTTACATCTAGACATTTTAACTTCAAAAGAATGAGACGTTGTTGCTTAACTCGTATTGCGCTTAAATTCATAAAGTCTAGCTACCATAGCAAAGAGCTCATCCGAATAATTACCATGAAAATATTTATAAAAAAGACACAGGGAAGCGACTTTATGCTGGTGGGAAAGGACCAATAATATTACTGATTCGCCTCTGGGTTTTATAAAGAAACCCTAAGTATATAGCAGGAGAACCGGATCATATGTGGCAGCAATATTCGTAGCATGGACGAATGGCAGATTTATAGATATGTAAGGTAGATTCCGGAAGGAAAATTGTCTAGCACGACACAGTGAACCAATTTTCTTAGCAGCAGACCTAGCAATGGATTTAATATAATCTGTCTACTTCATGTCAGCTGAGAATGTTAGCCCGAGAAAGCGCAATGAGTGGCTCTCCTGGAGGTTAGCATCAGCCATGCTGATGAAAAGTAGAAAGATGTCTTTCAGACGATTAATGGAAAGCAGTTTTGTTTTGGAAGCGTTAAAATTAACAAGCCATCCTTTATCCCAGTTAACAACTGACTGTTGGTCAGTTTTGAGATCAGCCACCAATTTGACCATATCAATCTGCTTAGACTTAATAAGGAGACAGGAGTAAATGGCTGTGTCATCAGCATAAATATCAATTTGAGAGCTGATTCTACCAGGAAGGTCACTGATGAAAACTAAGAACAAAGTAGGGTCAGGAATAGAGCTCTGGAGGACACCTGCATTAGTACGAAAGGATCTAGAAGAGTGGCTGTTCAGGATGACTTTCATTTCATGATTTGATGAGAAAGACTGGATCAGTTGAAAGATTCGTCCAGAGACACCAGTACTTTTCAACTTGTAAAGAAGACCGGTATTCCAAACCCTGTCGAACGCGTTCGCGATATTAAAAGCAACATCCTGAGGTTCACCATTGATAGACTCCCTCCGCAATATTCTTTAATACCTCAGTAGCTGACCTGGAGACACAAAAACAATATTGCTTGTCTGAAAAAAACGTCCTGCGATGTGAGATGCTTCACTAATTCAGCGTTGATTAGGGCCTCCAAAAAGTCTTGGATTTTATGTTTGTATGTCCGTCGCGGGAGTTAAGCCAAATGTTTAAAATTCAATATCAGGTTTGGGTGCATAGGGATTCTTTTTTTTTTTTTTTTTTTAGCTTTTCACCTCATGCAAGGCGGGAGTGTCACTAGCAGTAAGGTGTTACAGGAAGTGAGAGCAAGAGTAAAGAGGCGTGATAGAGGAAAGGATAAAGAGAAGGACGGAGAATAGATCAAGGCATCTGGAGATGTCAATTAACATTGCATTTGAATAGTTGGAGATTATAGCTATCACGGAAGAAAGTAAGAGGAAGGGAGTTCCACAGACAGGAAATGCAAGACATGAAGCTATTGAATTAGAAAAGACGGCTACATTTAACCGATTCGACAGTGAAAGGGTGGGGCAGATATGCCAACCTAGTAGCACGTTTAAATTCATGCAGTTTGGGAACCAGCGAAAGTAGCTCTTCGGAGCAGTTACCGTGAAAGTATTTGTAGAAAAGACAGAGGGAGGCGACGGCACGTCTGTGAGAGAGCGACTGTAAACGAAATGCCAGATTAGCATATCCATATACGTCTCCGGATTTTGTCGAGAACCTTGAGACAAACAGCGAGGGCTCCAGACCATATATGGCAGCAATATTCCATGCAAGGACGAATGGTTGATTTATAGATTTGAGGGATGGACTCGAGCAACAACTTTCTGGCGCGACACAGAGAACCAAATTTCCTTGCGGTAGATGAAGCTATTGATTCAATGTATTTGTCCCATCTCAGGTCAGCTTACAGTGTGAGACCAAGCAGTCGCAGAGAGGTGCATTCGTGGAGCATCAGCCATTCTAATGGGAGGCAGGGAGGGTTCTCCGTGGTGGGTAAAAGAGAGCAGTTTTGTTTTTAAGACATTAAAGTTAACCAGTCATTTCCTGTCCCAGTCAACAACCGATTGGATGTCCTTTTTGAGACCAACGGCCACGTACCTGCTTTTCCAGCTAACGATTTCTTCCTGTTCTTGTAATAAATAGTCGAAGACCTATTTTTGATGTCACTTTAATACTATACATAATATACTAGTTTGATGGATGCCTAGCAGATGGGATATGAATGTGATCTGGAACGGCCGCTGGTCGTCTGCCTTGCTGGCAATAGCAGAACCATGCAACACAATCCGATTTCCTGTGGTTGATATTCATCGCTTTATTCAAATGTCCAATAGGGAGAGAACACGCGATCTAACAAGAGACAGGGATTCTTTATTTCGAATCGCTTGTCTATTGTGTAACACTAACAGTATGTCTGAATACATTTAACTGTGAGTTTTGTAACCAAATCCACGTCAGCACCGAAGAGCGTGTTTTCTTCCTACGGAAGATTAACTCTCGTCAGGTATATCTATGTCAAGAGAAAGTAGTTTTAAACACTTGAACGGGAATTTTTATTTGATCCACTGAAGTTTGTGTTTTCATTCCTTTGCCTCGATCTCCTTCCGAAGAGGGGGTGTGGAGAATTCATCAGTTCTCATCAGATGCCGGTCTATCTATCCTTTTAAGCCAGTTTATTTATGTACTACCAAAGCCCGGGTTGATTGTTCGATTGATTCGTTTTCTACGGTTTATCAACCCTTTGCAGGTTATTTAAAGCCAGAAAATATTTTTAGATTGTTAGAATTTTTTCGATAATAATGATTTAGTGATACACGTCTTACTAATTAACCCATAGCTGGAGAGATTCATACCTTTCCCAAGGGTATTTGCAAGTAAATGAAGATAACGATCCCAGCTGGAATTGGAACTCGGCTCTCCGATTAAGAATTAATTATCCATTACACCACCCGCACATCCAAGTTGACAGCCCCTGGTATTCCCAAGCAGTAACTCATCTAGGCACTGACTAGACTCGACGTTGCTTAACTCCGGTGATCGGACAAGAACCGGTGTTCCAACGCGATGCGGCCGTTACCCCAAAGTCAGGGATTGAACTCAAGCCTTACAAAGAACTAAACTGGCTTTAGTGAAGGGGTCTTATCCATTATGTCATTATCTAAAAGTTATTTACTTAGACTAATTTAGCAAACGTATTTTAGTCTGGCACAAGACCATGTTGTTGGGGTATTCGTGAGGATCGAACTCACTACGCTATAGATTAGCCTGTAAGATAGTTTGCGATCCGTTGAACCATGGCAAGCCTCCTAATTTACTCAGGTTAACTAGGAACGGATCATGTTCAGGTAGAAATAGGAAGTGTGTCACGCCAATTTTCCAAGGTTGCCTACCTCGAAATTGCATTTCAACATTCTGTTTCTTTAATTGGATTCTGCTAAACGAAACACATAAATATCTCAGATAACAATCGATTCTAACATGATGATAGATTTGTGCAAAAGTTGCCAGCGCTCTCTTTTCAGAAAGCTAGAGACTGAATTTTCTTCTTTATATGCCACGTCCCATCAGGACGTAGGCGATCTTGACTCTCCACAACTTCCTTGTTTATTAAAACTTTGTCTTTCTGATATTTCTCTTAAGTCCTGTTCCGCCATCCATTTACTCAAGTTCACTATGTTATCCGTTGTTTTCCTCTGTTCCTCTTGTTTTAAATCTGTCCTGTGAGTATCAGATTTTCCGAACCCTCCTTCCTCGTTATGCGCCCCAGAAACCTCAACTGATATTAAGTCTTAGTTTCCTTTTTGTTTCCATTTTCTTCAAAACTCCATTTCTCACATGTTCAGTCCACGGTATTCTCAGTATCCTTCTGTAGAATCACATTTCTGTTGCTTCAAATTCAAGTCTCCTCTTCACCTTTGAGGAAATCGTTCAGCACTCATTGCCATACAGGAGAACAGATATCACATAGCAGTTCAGAGACTGAATACACAGTAGAAATGCGTTTTATTTTTCTATTTTTATTATTAAAACAAAATAGCTGGAGAGTTTTATACTTACCTGATAGATATTTACTAAGCTTGGTTTCGTTTCGTGTAAGTGTGATTAAGTGAGATGTTTTTTACGGTTTATCAACCCTGTGTGAGAGTCATTACAGATTTACTGGCACTTCTTTCATTCCTATCCTTTGTAACTCTTAGTAAATTTTGTCTTTTCGTTCTTTCCCCTTAAAACCATCAATTTAGTCAAGCATTCTTTTTCTATGTGCCGTATCCCTCCAGGACGTTGGCAATTATGGCTCTCCACAACTTCCTGGCCTTTGTAGGTCTTAATAAATTTCTCCATAAACTCTGTTCCGCCATCCATTTACACAAGCTCATCCTTTTATAAATATATATATTTCATTAGTCGTACTTGTATTTACCGAGGGTAATTTTTTTTAATTATTTTCAAAGTATTTTTGTAATAAACCATTAACAATATATTTACATTAAAAATGTGACAATACTGTTCTGTCAGTAGTATATACATTAATTCCTGACCTCGGATAATCCCTTCCTTCCTGAATTTAACTATGCAGTTATGCATCAGTAAGAATGTCTATAAGTTCCATCAGAATGACTGATGCCCAAATCCACGAGACCGTCTCCCTGCGTCTAATTGGTCTCATGCTTTCCACTGACCTGAGGTGGAACAACTACATTGAATCAATAGCTTCATCTACTGCAAGGAAAGTTAGTTATCTGTATCGCGCCAGAAGGTTTTTTCTCGACTGAGTCCATACTTCAAATATACAAATCAACCATTCGTTCGTCCTTGCATTGAATACTGCTGCCATATATGGTCTGGTGACCTCTCTGTTCATCTCGAGGCCCTTGACAAAATCCAGAGACGTATATGCATTGTGATAGATCCTAATCTGGCATCTCGTCTACAGTCACTCTCTCACAGACGTTCTGCGGCTTCCCTCTGTCTATTCTACAAGTGGCAACTACTCTGACGAGCTACTTTCGCTGGTACAAAAACTGCATGAATTTAAACGTCCCCCCCTTTCGCTGTCAAATCGGTTAAATGTAGCCGTTTCTTTTACTCCAACAGTTTCTTCTCCCGCACTTCCCATCAGTTGAACTCCCTTCCTCTTATTTGCTTCTCTAAGAGCTATAATCTTCAAATATTCAAATGTAATATCAATCGACATCTTCTGATGCCTTGATCCTGATCCCCGTCCTTCTCTATATCCTTTCCTCAAACACCCCCCTCTTTACTCTTGCTCTCACTCTCTGTAACCCCTTGCGTGCTAGTGGCATTCACACTTTGCTTGGGGTGAGATGCTTAAAAAAATCCGTAGCCTAATAAAGAAAACGCGTTTATTTTTTACCGCAAAAATCTTTTCATGTCAATGCACTTAATCTAATCTTTCTTTCCTTAATCACATAGATCGAACATTGTGCAGTGAAAATTTCAGATCGAATTCACCTTTAAACTCTATTAAGCTACGGACTTATTGATCCAATCTCATTATCAGCAGTTTCGTCTTTCATGTCTGCCTGTCTTCATGTCAGAAATTGGTGTCATGAAGTTTTAATACAACTTCCGGTCAACCACACACGCCTATGTGTGTGTGCGTGCGCGCACATGTGTGTGAGCCCATGCAAGTACGCGCGCATGCGTAGTTTATTGGTTACTAGTGTTGCAAGCGAAATATGCATGTCAAGTTCAAGTTCCGTCCGAAGTTGTTGCATTCGCTTTTACACAAATACCCTTTGGAAAGATATGGATTCATCTCTTTTTTGTTCCCCAGTTATGGATTAAATAGCATTAGTCTTGCTCGGCAACTATTCCAGGAGAAGGAATACGTTTTAATTCAAACCTGGGTCGAGGTGTTTGGAGATGTGGTGGCAACATTTTTCTTCTTCATCAGATCTTCCGAGAAACGTGGCTAGTTCTACACAAGCCCTTATCACTCTCATCAAATCATATCTGTGATTGTTCAGCTGTAAAAATCTGAACTATTAGGCCCTCATACGTCGAAAACGATGGGATAGTCTACTTTATATATTTATATATATATATATATATATATATATATATATATATATATATATATATATAAAGCAGTATGTGGTATGCGTTTTTCCTTTTTTCTTTTTTGCTAACTCACACATTTACACTTTAGACATCCAGACATTCATACGCATTTTTCTACTGACGTCAGAAGATAATGCAGGCTTGCTTAGCTGGACAAACTCATCAGTTTGTATAAGCACCTGTCGTACACAGCTTAGCAACGTTGAAAATTAAAGCCTTGGCATTACAGAGAGGCTAAGTGCATTGATTTTGTAGAAAGGCAACTCCGATTTTGAAAGAGATTTGCATTTTTCATAACACGTGATTAATTACATCGTACATTGCAAACAGAAACGAGGCTTTGAAATCGACACTGCGTTGCACGTTTTTTTTTAGCGAGAACTCCTCTAGAGCGGACCATAAAAATGAGGAAGCTATTCGGTTTCATGGTTTTATACTTTTTATATACCAGTCACGTCTCATCAGATGGTAGGTATTATTATTATTATTATTATTATTATTATTATTATTATTATTATTATTATTATTATTATTATTTCATGATATATATTTCTGGATATTTCAATTGTTCTCACCTGTGTTGTCATTTGGATAATTCCCCCCGCCACCCGCCTTGGATTTCCATCCCTCTTCAGATTTTTCACCCCCTCGGATTTCCAGTTCACCCAATATTTTTCTTGGGCATTTTCAGGCTCATTTATTTATTTTACTCACTGTGTATTAAATGGTGCCTTACACCAGAAGTCAAGTGACAGCAAGTCACCTCACTACTCCAGCACTCTCCTCAATATTGCAGCTGATTTTTTTTTTTTTTTAATAATGCAATTGTTCGGAGGAGTTCAACTCTTTCTCTAATTTCAATTTCCTTCCAGTCTGTTACCAGTGCTCCGATAATGACTAGCATCACTATCACTTTCATGTTCAACAACTTTCTCGGGTTTCTATCCATCTTTTCACATCCTCATTATTATTATTGATTGATTAATTGATTGATTGAGAGAGAAACGCGCCAATAATGTGTCACTAGAATACAATCTTTTAGTTATGTTCTTTGAGATTATTATTACTATTATTATTATTATTATTATTTTTATTATATACTCATTACATTTTCCTATCACTAATATCTAGAGGCTTTCACTGGAGAACAAGTAACAGCAAGTCTTCTCGTTGCTTCAGAATTCTATTCTGTATTGTAACTGATGTCAATAATACTGGTGTTCGGATGTTTTCAATTTTCCCGGGATTTCCAATTCTTCCAACACAGTGAAAAGTTTTTTCGAAGTGGTGAAAGGACGCCGATAATGATGGGTAAAAATGTCACACTATTATTATTATTATTATTGTTATTACCTTCTTATGTTCCTCTAAATATTTCATGTTCATATTCCTACACTGTTGACCAAATATCTTAACTGCCGATAAATGTCAAACATATCAATCCTTTTGTCACGTACTCATTAATAGAGCCTTTTGTATGGGTTTCCTGGGATTTTCTAAATATTTTTTTCCAATCATTCCAAGTGCTCCTACAACTATTGGAATAACGGTGTTTAAATGCCATATTCTTGTAATTTCTATTTCCAGATCCTTATATTTATCAAATTCTATCGTTGCAATGTTATTTATGAAACGGTATGATCAGATCTACTCGATATTATTATTAATTAGTATTATTAGTATTAAAAATCGATGGAATGCGAGAAATACAGAACTAATAAGGCAAAGAAGTAAGATAGAAAATGAAAGGATACGGCATATGGAAGAATTATTATTATTATTATTTATTTATTATTTTTTATACTATTATTATTATTATTATTATTTCTATTTATTTATTATTATTTCTATATTATTATTTATTTATTTATTATTATTATTTCTATATTATTATTATTATTATTTTTATTTTTTTTGATTTCTGGCGTTTACACATTTCTTTCCGGGTCCCGCCCAGAGACCTAAGGTTAGAAATAGCATCATGACA